ATTAATACAAATACCAGTTTATGAAAGTAAAACTATTGATATTGTAGATGAATATGACACTGATAACATTATAGAAATTATTGAACAAAATAATCCTATTATGGTTCGTGGAGCACTACCGGGCACGGGAAAATCATATATATGTCAAAAAATGGTTGATAACAATTATAATGTAATTTTTATTTGTCCTACTAATAAACTATTACAGGCATTCGAAGGCGAAGCAATGACAATAAATATGTTTTTTCGGTATTAATTATGGAGATGCTAAATTAGAACCATTTGATTTTACAGATTTTGATGTTATAGTATTTGACGAAGTTTATTTTAGTAATTTAAATATATATTGGAGAATAAAACAATTTGTAGAACAGAATAAGCACAACAAAATTATAATAGCAACAGGAGACACCAAGCAATTAAAACCAGTTCAAGAGATAACAAATACTCGAGACTATGAAGTATATACTGATAACATTATAGATAACATTTTTGAATATAATATTTTGTTAAAATAATGTAAGCGACTTAACACACAGGAAGATAAAGATAAACTAAGAAATATTAAAATTGATATTTTTGAAAATAGATTACCTGTGATGAAAGTTATTGAAAAATACTTTGAATATACAACTGACATAAGCAAATCAATCAACAACATAGCATTTTTAAATACAACTTGTAAAAATGTATCAAATGAAATTAGAAAATTAGAAAATAGAAAAGATTAATATCAAGTCGGAGAATTTTTAATTTGTAGAGAATATACAACAACTAAAACATCAGTGTTTAATGTAAATTTCAAATATAAAATTGTTCATATTGGAAGCGATGGAGTTTTTACGTTGAAAAATGTTAAAACTGAAATTCTACAGTCTTTGTCAATTGATAAAATAAGAAGAAATTTATATTTGCATATTGTTCGACTTGTCATTCTGCCCAAGGCAGTAGCATTGATGATACCATAACAATTTTTGATTATAATCCATTTTTTGGTAAAGAATTATCCAGAATGGATATGGACAGCAATAACACGTGTTCGTGATTTAAACAAAGTCAAATTTTATAAATATACGAAAGATATTGATGATGTATTTAATCAAACATGTATTATGAGTTATTTTGAAAGGAACATTTTAAATTACAAAGATCAAGATCCGAAATCCAAAAGAACAATACCTAAAGAAGGCTATGTAAATACGCAATGGTTTTTAAATAATATCACTAATCAATGCAATTACTGCGGATGCGGTTTTTCTATGGATATTCAAAATGGTAATATCATAACAAATCTAACTGCACAACGAAAATCAAACGAGTGCAGCCACGAATTAAATAATATTATTCCTTACTGTGTTAGGTGCAATTGTAGTTGTAAATGATAATAATTTAAATAATAATCTAATATTTCTTGTAAAATGTATTTAAAGAAATAAAAACTATATATATAGTGAAATTGTGGAAACTGAAATCAATAATTATATCAATAAGAAATGCTACGACTGTTGCCACTTCAAAAAGGAAAATATGGAATTATATAAATTGAATTTACCTAATGGAATAGTTAATAATATTATTGATTATTCTTTGGGTAAAGAAAATTTATGTAAAATTTGTAGAAATTGGAGATATTACCAAGAAGCAATCGAATGTAATTTGGATATTAAAAGGCTTAATGAAAGAAATGTTGAAGATGACATTTTGATATTTTTAACTGTGTATAAAATACCACCTTATGATTATGTTAGAGCATTTATGAAAATCAGTAAGAAAAAGTATGAAAGTATTCACTGCATATTATGGATGTTGGAGTATCAAAGAAAAGAAGGGTTTGATGTAAAAAAAACATTAAATCATATATTGAAAGTGAAAAGTTTAATGTTAAAAATATAGTGAGAGATATTAATATTATTTTTAAAATGATGTATGAAAGAGGTAAGATATATCAATTAAATAGTTATCCTGAACTAAAATTATAATCATACTATGATTATAACATGTAAAATATTATATGTTATAAGTATATTCCAATATTTAATTTTATTTCTTGTAAAAAGGTATTTAAAGAAATAAACACTATATATATATATTATAATAGAAATGGAGTTTCAAAAACTACCAGTTGAATTTATTAATAATATTATCTCCTATAAATATGGCAAGCCATAATATATGAAAATAAAGCATAATCATAATGAAACATTGAAGAGAATACAAAAGAAGATATAAAATTGACAGAACTGACATAGAAAGGGAAACAAAGCACTGTAATAATTTAGATGGTGATAAAGTAAAGAGACAAATATTTCAACATTATGTTCTAGGAAGGTTCCATTAAGCATTGAAAGTATTGAAGATATAGTTATGAAAGAAGGGGATGAAATAGATAGCTTAATAGATAAGTATGTAGGATATGAAAGTTATAAAGCAATAATAGTTGATGTAATTTTATGTGTAAGGTTTCATCGCTTTAATTATTTTGAGGATGATGAATATAGCAGTTATGGTTTTGATTTTCATAGTGGTAGACACTTAATGGGTTCTATAGACCAAGATAATATAACTGATGTAATGGAATACGCAGTTGCAATAATATGTAGAAATATTGATAATGAAAGGGATATAATGAATATTGTAGGAGTAAAACACATAAGGTTTATACTAATTATTGATGAACCTGAATAATTTAATCATACTATGATTATAACCTTTATACCCTTATATGTTATAATTATAATGTAAGTATAGCGTTTTATATATTGAAGATAGAATCCTACAAGGTGGGCCATGCGCAACTCCGGAATATCCAAATTTTGAAAAATGATTAATTATTAAGTATCCTCATTGAATTATTGAAAATGTTGTTTCTTATTGAATAATTCTTCTTAAAATGCTATATATATGTATCTCTTTTGAAAAAAAATATGTTCTAAAATATTTTGGAAAATGTGTGTTTTTGAAAATGACAATGTTTAGGTGTATTGATTTTTTCAACAAAATAATTCAATTTTCGTTTTCGCATGCTGTAATAAAAAATATTTATCAAAATGTGTTTAGACTGTTTCAAAAAATGTTTTAAAATGGCTGTTTTGAGGCGCTTATTCAAAAAATGCAAAAACAACCTAGGGTGGACCCTAGACTTTTGAGTTCGAAAAAAGTTGCGCATGGCCTATCCTAACTAAGACATGTGCTTTCTTCACGGCGCCTCCGATCTCTTGTTCTGCAAGGCCCTCAAATGGCGATGGGGCGGGGCCCCATTTGCTGAAACTATGTTTGCAAGCAAGCCATCCGCAAACAGCAAGCGATACTGATTTGCAGGGAGTCAAGTTCATTGTGGTTTCAGCTGATGCGAGAAGAGGGCTTGACATGATATTGCATTTCTCCATGGTTTCTGGGCCCACCGGGCCATGGGCAGGAGCTGGTGGTGGAGATCTTCCAGACCTGGCTGCAGCACAGCCAGGAGGAGAGTGGCATAGGGCGCCCTCCGGTCTCGCGAACCATTGGGGATTCACCTCCCTAGAACTGGATTGGGGTTCGCCTCCCGTCAGCTTCCCTGATTAGCTCCCTGTTGGGTATTTCGCCGGTTTCTTTCAATTTTCATACGGACCTGTGTAACATGTTGTATCCACCAGTTTTTCTGTGCGGCTGCCAAATCCCACCTCACTGGATGGTTTCAAAAGAGACGGGAAGGGAAAGCAACAGGAGGTTTGAAAGTGTCACTTCGGGCCCAACAAACCACCTTGGTTTAATGAGACAGTTGAGAGGCTTTGCCCGGCTGTTTTGCTCTGTTGCTCTCAAATGGTAAGTGCAATCATCCCAGATAATTTTAGTTTTGCGGACACCTGCCACTGCAACCGGGCTGCTTCCCATGAGTCGGCCAGCCCGTTTCATTTGTCAATGATTGTGATCGGGGCATCTCAATGAATTGTGGCGGTCCCCGGGAAAGGTGCCCAGAAAGCAGCCCATGGTTTAGACATCAGGCGCCAGAACGGCCTTGGATTGGGAGCCCTTTAAAGGGCCCCTTTTCTGAAATGAAACACATCTGACCCCTTTGGTTAGTCAACTGTTTCACACCAATGAGCTGGTTGTACCCAATCAGCCAGTGTAGTACCGTTGTATTGTAGTATGAGTCACTTTTGGTGGTACCGGGCTGGTTGGATGAAAGTCCCACGATTCAAGAAAGGTTGGTGAGCCAATTCTCCATTGTCACCTTGGAATACAACAATACAACGGGGCTCAAGTTCCATTTGTTTCTGAGGTAGAAACCATACGATGCGGATCAGCTTGATTGCCTTAATCAAACCAACTCCATCGCTGGTCGTGGTTGCAGCTCGGCCAGGCAATCCAAATCGACGGAGGGTTCCTCCTTTTGCTGCTTGTTGTATTGTCGGCAGCCAATGACAGATCAGAATCACACTGGACAGGTTAGCAAGGAACGCATTCTGCGTGTGATTTTGATAAGTGTTCCGGTCCTTTCAGACAAAGCCTGCAATGTGTTTTCCACACGTGTGTAGATCTGAGGATATGAGTCCTCTGCCGGGCTCTGAGCTTTGGCAATCCCGCTGCGAACGATTGCCGCAGCTTCCGGTCCAAAGGTGGCAGAGGCCAGTGAGTCGGCATCGCTTTTGGGGTAGCGCGGGACGGGGGACGGATGGGGACGGGGGGTTGTTGGGGTAGATTCTTGCCAACGAAAAGGCGGTGGGTGAGGCGGTTCCAGTCCCATGTTTAAAAAGGTTTGACCTTATGTTTCCGGGTCTAGGAAGCCCCAGGTGGCCACGGTTTCAGGAGAGACTTGGGCCGATGGCAATGTGCTGCGGTCCACGTGTACCCCATGCCGCCAAGTTCAACCTGTTTGACTCGCAGCCAGTGTTTGAAGGCTGACAACCCTGGTAATTTGGTAAATACCACATCTCAAGGACCTGCAGGGTTTTTCAAGCGCAAGTGAGCGAGAGTGTGCTCCTGTTCTTCTTACTCCGATTCGATTTTCTGACTTCGCAGCCATGGAGCTGCCTTTGCCGCATCCGCGGCTTTCACAGAGCCAGGCGAGGGGGACCTTCCAGTGGTGAGCCGGAGTTGTTTTTTTCTCCGGGTGTGTGAGCCCTTAGAGTCGTTACATCAGCGGCACCGTGGAACTGAATCTAGCAAAACCACACATTGAAACCATATCCGTCAAGTTAATGTACTTATTCAACATGTAATTGATCTCGAGGGCAAATAGAAGCTTCTTGCCTGGAACTCAACGTCATGCTGAACATGTTTCAAGCTTCTCCAAGATGGGCCAACGTCAGAAAATGATGACAGAACCTAAAAACCGGTGTACTTACTGGTAGCTCCACTGTGGACTTGCGACTTGACTGCGACAGTCAGCGCTAGGGGGCAGTTTGTCTTTGGACGACCCAGCTACCATGTAGTAGCGGACCGGGCTTGCTCCAAGGCATGGGAATGGATGGGCTTGGGAATGTGGCCAGATGCCAAAGAGCTTCCTCTCAGTGGGACATGTTGAGACCCTGTTCATTCAGCCTCAGACCCCCTGCCACAATATAAGTGCATGTTGAGTTGCCGAAGTGTACCTTGATGAAGTTGCTCCAATGGAAGTGCCCTTGGGATGCTCCAACACAGTTGCCCTCTTTGGAAGCTGGAGCATCGTGAATCTTTTTGCGGGCTATCCCTTTGTCAGTGGGAAGGTAGTCTCAGTCTTTTTAATAGAGGGATGTCGGATCTTTCGTTGCCTATCAACAGCAGCCGAGATATTCAGGGTGCACATGTCGGTTAACACTTGCAACAAATAGATGCTTAGCGTACGGTCAGTCGCACTTTCTTATCGTGCATTGTATGTCTTTGTTGAGTGGTGCCCTTGTTTCCTTTTTTTGGGGAAGGGTTCCCCTTGAATCTCAACCAACAAAAAAGGGTGCCCTTTTAGCCGTTCTGGTCCAAAACCATTAGGGCTCAGGGATCGGGCTCCCAGGGCCTGGCGACACTCCCCGGTGCGTCAGGCGTCCACCAAGTCACGGTCTCCTCCGTGGCGCCCCGCTTTCTTTTGTGCGCGGCCCCCCTGGCTTGCTCTGCTGTGTGGCGGTGGTCTCTGGTGTGCTGGGGCTTTGCCTGTTGCTGGCTGTGGCCATGTTGTCCCGGGACCCGGCTGTGCTGAGGGCCCTGTCTGCTCTTTCTTCCACCACCCTGGCCACACTTGATGCCCTGATGTCTGAGGTGGTGTTCTTTCAGGATCCCGATCCTGAGGCCTGGCGTGGCCGTGCGGACCTTCACTTCAGGGTTGATGCTGGGATCTCCCCTACGGAGTGGCTCTGCTCTGCCTTTTCTCCTGGCCTTCCGCCTGACCTGCATGCCACGCCCCGGACGCGCCGGCTCATGTTTGAGATGCTTCTGAGAGCCCCGGTGCAGTTCACCGCCCTCCTCAACCGGCCTGGCGGTCACTTTAGGGTGAAAGGGGCGTCCTTGGTGGCTGGCACCATGCCTCGTGTGGCCCTGGTGGACCTTGATTCACAGGTCTGGATTGTCCCTGACCCGGACTTTGATGCTCCGCTGGCTGTCACCCACCTGTTTGCGGGGTCCTTCCATGGATGGGGTCAGGCGGCTGAGGCCATTAGGCAGTTGGTGGGACTGGACATCCAGCAGGAGCTCATGGTGGATTTCTCGCCACAGGTCGTTGCCTCGCTGTCTGTTGCGCTGGATGTGCCCTGTGTGCTCCCGGTCAATCTGACCAGTTGGGATCCCACATCAACCCAGGCTGTGATCCTTGCGGATGTGGCTGACCGTGGTCTTCTGCATTGTGTCCCCTGGGTGGGCACTCACGTGGCCACGGCTTCTCCGCCTTGCCCACCTTGGTCCCGGGCTGGTGAACAGGATGGGCTTGGGGACCCCCATGGCATGTCCTTCGTGGCCGCCCTGGCTTGGGCTCGGGCTGCTGCCCCTCTGGTTTTCTCATGGAGTGTGTTGATGGGTTGCCGGATCACCCGCACTTCCCTATCATCCTTGCCGTTGTCCAGTGGGCTGGCTACCGGGTCCATCACTCACTGGTGCATGACCATGCCACCTTTGGGCCATGTGCCAGACGCCATTGGCTTGCCACTCTGCTGCGGTATGATGTTGAGGTGTCGGTGCCTGTTCCTACGGCCACCTTTGGTGACCCTGTGCCTGTGCCGTGGACCCACCAGGACTTCCAGGTGCAGGAGGCACCCGAGATGGATTTTGCCCGCTTGCTCGGTGACCAGGTTCTCCGGCACTATACCAACCCTGCCTTCCTACCTGGCGCTGAGCCCCATCAGCACTCTGCACAGGAGGTCCTCCAGAGGCGGCTGGCCCCTGATGATCAGCCACTGCGCACACTCTGTGCTCGGTACTCGCAGCAGCATGTCCTGGCCGCTGCTACCCTGGCTGACAGAGGCCTTTTTGCCCAGCTCACCCTGGTTGATGGCCGCCCGGCCTTTTTCTCTCCTGCCCAGTGGGCACTGTGGCTTGGGGCAGTCCGACCCCTGGTCTTTCCTCCCACCTTGGAGGAGGTGTTCCATGGGTTGGGTAACTGTATCTCAGTACCACAGGCAGCCATTCCGTGGACTGTCTTCCTGAGTGCAGTGGGTCTCATTACTGAGGTACCTGAGCACCTCGTTCTGCGTGTGTGGCGCCATCGGCTTCGGGGTGGTGCCCTACGTCCTGCAGTTGTGCGTGGGTGGTACTTTCTTGGAGCTCTGGATCAGCTCATCGACTTTGCCTTCCACCCTCAGGCCCCTGTGCGGGCCGACGCGGAGGGACCGCCAATTGTTGTTGGTGAAGAGACCTTTCCCAGGATGGTCTTTCCCTACCGCATGGGTGCTGCTCGATCCACGCTCCACTCGCCCTCTGGTTTGAGTGTCGAGGTGACGTACCCTGTTGGGGCTGCTGTCTCTTTGGTCCTTCTGGCAGCTCGCCTTCCGCCTGTTGTCTTGCCCCTTCTTGCTGTGTCGACCTTCGCTCGTGTCTGGCTCCCTCGTGAGTCAGCCGGAGACTTGACCGGACATGACTTGGCTGTCGTCCCTGCTCAGGAGCCAGGCCAACTTGCTCCCCAGCCCCCTCCCCCCGTCCTGGTGCCACCGGAGGTGAGGGTCTTTATCCATGACCCCATGCGGAGGGAGCATGTGCTTCATGTCCGCATGTGCGACCGTATGTGGGACGCCCGGTGAGTGATACCACTACGGCTGAAAACCTTGCGGGTCAGCATGTCTTGCTGCGCCTCTTCCCTCTGCCTGGTGGTGGCTTTGGCTCGAGTGAGACTGCCGTCTCCCTGGCTTCGGATGATGATGAGATGGTCCCGGTTGATCCCTTGACCATGCATGACCCGTGGGCTCCCCCCCCGGGCCTCGTCCCCACTGCCAAGTCTGCACCCAGGAAGGGGCATGCCAAGTGGGATCAGCTCCTACTCCCGGAGGACCATGCCTTCACCTTGGCAGATCTTGGGGTTGCGCCTGTCTTGGTTCCGCGTGGGCAGCTTGGCCCCCTTGTGTCCGGCCTGGCATTCTGCCCTGTCAGCTTGCTTGCGGAGAGCCTCAAGGCCCCGGTCACTGCTCCCACAGCCCTCATTGTGCCGGGGACCTCCCGGGCTTCCTTGCCTGCGCTTCCTTCTGCTGTTGGTGTTGAGGGTCCCTTGCAGATCAGTGTCCTGGACCCTGTTGCAGCTCTCACGTACAAGCGGCAGGTCGTGCTTGTCCACCTTGCTCCGGGCATTACCTACCGCCCTTCTGTTGAGGCTGCAACGGTCATTGACACCGTTGACTTTGTTGAGCTTGTGGTTGAGAGCTTTGAAGCCCTAGCAACTGACTTTGCGGGCATCTTGGCCAAGCCTGCTGCGGACCTGCGGGCCCTCTTGGAGGCTCCTCATCAGTCGTCGGTCGTCCAGTCTGTCTATGCCCTCCGTGTGCTCCATGGCTCCGTCCACAACTTGGGTCGCGTGGTGCAGTTTACGGTCAAGCTCCCGTTGACCCACAGGCTCGCATTCCTGCGTCTGTCGGGCACTGGGCCCTTCTTCGTGCGTGATTTCTTGGCCCAAGGAGCTGACCCGCAGGACCATTTGGTGGTGCACCGTTTCTGGCCTCCCAGTGTGGAGGGCCTCAGGGCGGCCTTGGCTGTCTCCCGGGCCCTGGAGGGGTTTGCTGGTCTTGCCCCACTGAAGCGGGGTGTCACAGTCCGTGTCCTGCACTCTCACATCGCGGATGCTCGAAGAGCCTTGTTGCAGGAGGATCCTCGCTTTGTTGAGGCCAATCGGTCCCTTGTCCCCCGGGTCACTTTCCTTGCGGAAGGCTTGCCGTTTGGGGCCACCTGGTGCAATTGTTGAGGCTGTTCTCAAAGCTGTGGGTGCACCCTGCATCCCCTTGCGGTCTTTCCGGCGCAATGGCATTCTGGTTTGGGTCTTGGCCTTTGCTCAGGCCCCTGCTCTCATGGATTTCACCCTCCTGTCTGCTGGGCGCCCGTGTGAGGTCATCCTGGCCCCTGAGCCTCCTCCTCAGGCTCGCAAGGCCAGGCCTAAGGGGGGGCGGACTCCACAGTCCCTGCCCAGCGCTGAGACCCCGGGCACCTCTGCCACTCGGCCTTGCCCTTCTGGTCTCGCCCCGACGGGGCTCCAGTCTCGGGTTGAGGCCCTTGAGCAACGCTTGGGGGGTCTTGAGGTTAAGCAGGACACCCTTGCGGACAAGGTTGACACCCAGTTTGCGCAGGTTTCCGCCCAGCTCACGCGCATTTTGGGGGCGGTGTCCAAGCCGGCTCGTGCTGGTGCCGCGGAGGATGCTTTGGCCCCTTCGGCCAAGGCAGCTCGCATGGGGGCTTGACTATCTGGGCCGCCATGGCCCTCTTGGGGGATGGGTCCCTGGGTGACCCCCTGTGCCTTGGGTTCTGGTACTGGCAGCTGCTGCCTCCCTTCTTGTTGGTGTACTGCGCCCTCTCCTGTTGCTATTTGGTGGCTGTTGCTGTACCGTGTTTTTGATGCCACTCGCGGCTTTCCTGGTGAGGGCCCTTTTTCCTTGCGCTCCCACAATGTCGGTTCTCTGGCGGCCCATGC